TACGTACATTCAAAAGTTTCGAAATATAACTATGACCCATTGGAATATTAGGTTTGGATGACACTCATGGGTTTTTTAATCATCTTTTAAAAACATTTTCAGGAGGAATATTAGGTTTGAATGAGAGTCATGGTTTTTTTAATCATCTTTTAAAAACATTTTCTTGAATTGAATTATTTTGTAATCTTTGTAGGAGGGGTGACCTCAATTGAACGATTTTTGCAGAACTTCTTCTCTTCCTTGTACAATACAATAAACGATGAAACCAAAAATAAAAGAGCAAGTACTACAAATTTGATAGTTAGTTGCTGACCCTGTTCACCTCTTCCCTCTACCTTTCTACTTTGCTTGTTTGTTTTGCTGCCTCAATGGTAACAATGATATATTTTTGGACGAAACGCTTTCATGTGTTTTGGAGGCCTTATTTTCTTTGCTGGCTCAATTCTCGATTGTATTATTATGAATGTTGGACTCCTAATCATTGGTCGTTTTATGCTTGGTGTGATAAATATTAATTTTCTTTTCTTTTCTCTGCTTTAGAATCATTTTTATCTCAATAACATTTAGGTTAAAATTGAAGAAATTTAATTTTATTTGATAAAATTTTTTTTATTTATTATTTTTAAAATAATTTCGTTTAATATATATTTGAAGTTTCTTAAATTGTTTTTTAAGATATAATTTTCTTATAATATATTGGATTTATAAATTTCGGATATTTAACTATAATTTTAGAAAGAATGGTAATTTGTATCTAATCATACATATTTAAATAGATAAAATAATTTGTGTATTGCTCGAATTATAAATTAATTTAATATATCTTAAGAAATTTATTTTTAATTAAATTAATTTTTAATTAATTCACATAATCATTTTTAAAAAATTATGTTATCATATTTATATTTTTTTAGTGTTAACTTTTTTCTAAAAAAATTATTTATTAATAAATTAATCTTATGTGATTAATTAACTAATAGAATATAAAATGTATAAACTGTGGGATCGAATATAAATTTTTTATTCATTACTGATAAAATTAAATGATAGCAACTCACGGAAAGACGTAAAGCATTGACGCACTCATCTACCGACAACCAAAGTCAAGCACCACTAATAATTTTATTCACCCTCTTCCGGCTTTCAACCTTTCGAGTCACAACGCAAACGTCACCATGCAAACCGAAACTTCAAAGTCAAACCATTAACACCAAATTAAAAAAAAAAAAGTAAGAACGGATTTAACAAGGCACACACCCAATAGATGATATTATCCAGATTGCGGCATCTCACATGGTTGTACAAGCTGATGATTTTTGTTCACTCGAGTCATAACAACAACGGCTTTGACAACTGCTGCTGCATCTTCCACAAGAACATGATCCACCACAACCGCTACAGGAAAAGTTACTGCACCTTTTACATGAATTGCCTTTGCAGCCACTACAAGAAAAGCTGCCGCAACCTTTACAACACCTGCTGTTGTTGCACCCGCCACAAGATATGCTGCCACACATTTTACAACCCCAGTTGTAGTATCCACTAGAAGACCAGCCATCGCATCCGCTACAAGAAGAGCTGCCGCACCCTTTACATGACCAAGACCAAGTGCAGCACCCACTACAAGACTTGCTGTTACACCCCTTACAAGTGTTGCTGCTACAATTACTACAATGCCAGCTGATCCACCCATAACCTGAGCAGCTTTTGCACCCACTACCACCACACCCATTACAGCACATTCTTTTCCCACAATTCTCAGTGCATGCAAGTGGGAACGAAATACATTTACTCTGGTCGCATTGGCCTTCGGGATGCCATATATGGCATTCCTTACAAAATATCCCTACTATGTTGATAATTTTATTATCCTTCTTCTCAGGCTCTGGAGGCTTTTCTTCTTTAGGTGGAGCATCAGGCTTGATAGGCGTTTTAATCTCAATGCTTGTTATGCAACAACCGGCCTTGCTCCATATCTTTCTCTTTATGGACTCAGGATTGCTGGATACCACAGTGATTGTCACCGTATTTTCCTTCTCATCGTATTTCTGGTCTCTTATTTCTGTTCAACATCATCACATCACACATAAGCTTAATCGGTCTTTAATTATGTTTAATCTCCCAAAACTTTTTTGTTCATGCATATACACAAGCATAGTGACAAAGGAGATATCGATGATCAGATCACTTGCCCGGATATTTGCAGAGTACTTTCTTGACCTTCTTACAGCAGCGGTAGCACTTAAGGTCTACTTTCAACACCATTGTTGTGGCCTATAACAATGCTCTTTATTATCAGTGAATATGATGGTTCAGAAAAATGTAGTAATATGTTATATCATCCTATATAATAAATTAAGAAAAAATTAATGCAATGTCATCCCATATAAAATAATTGGAAAAAGTATATGGTATTTCGTGGCAGTTTCTGCACCAATGTATAATATGTACAATTGATAGGTGGATCAATAAAACATGTATCAAAAGTGTCACGATTTCGTCCGTTTTAAACATATATATATATATATATATATATATATATGTTATACTCCTACTATTTAGAATCGAACTGGTCTGGTTACCACTCCACTGTTTTATGACAATGATATATAGTACTATATTATAAGTACTTGTCATGCACATGCAAACTATCAAATCAAGTTGTTATTTGGCAAATTAAGGAAACTTTAGAGTTGATGAAATATATAGCATATACAAAGCAGTCTAGCTAATTTGTGAACGACAGACAACACATACAAATTAAATTACTAGCATAAGAAGAACATTTAGATAAAGTAAATAAATAATGGATGAGATTTCACACTTCACACCTCCGCCATGGCAATGGATGATGGATGAAATCTAGTAAAAAGACAGCTGTGTTGTCAAATTATGTAGACTACAAGTGAACCAGAGTCAGAGAGAAACTAAGAGATGGTGTCTTCTACATCAATTTATCAACCCAAGTTGCTAAATAGCGTCTTAAATAGAGCAAGGACTGACTCTATGCACTGTCGACGCCTAATGAGAACCCACCATATATATTTTATATATAAGACGTTGATTTTCATATATATACGACGATTATCTATATATATATATATATATATATAAATGCGTAAAATGTGGAAACTTAAATATCGAATCCCGTACACCCAATTATTGGTTTTGCATCTGCTGGATTGATAGGCACTTCTGACCTTTTCGTGGACTTGATCAGAATAAAATTTCTTATCCCCAACTAACGAACTAAGTTTAATTAGACCCAGAATCCACGCAAATCACCTAAAAGAATCCTTTTTGTAGCATGAAAAAGGATTCTTGTACGCGTCCATCCAAGTTTCTCATTTGATATTAATCAAGCAACTTCTTCGATCTTCCTTGGTTCTTTGTTATGAGATGACTTTTCGTGGAGACATCTTGAGTTCTTAACGTTGTATCCCATTAATGAAAACTTAAAAATTAGAAATTTTATACTATGATATATTTTCATTATTATTTCTAAGGTTCTATTGTTTGGTTTAATAGTTTTGGCATTTGTTTTTCAAATAACAAAAAAAAAATTGTAATATCCATCAAATGAAACTTAAAAATAATATATTTTATGTTATATTTAATGTATTAACTAGGTGTGGACATGGTCTTCTGACGTGTATTTAATTTAAGGATCTTGTTGGCAACATTTCGTTTTCAAACCGAACTTCTGAAAATAACTAAAATTTGATTAAAGAAAAGGAGAGAGGGTGGGTGGAAGAAGAAAATTAAGTTCTATCTAATGCTTTCAACCATTAAAAAAAAAAAAAAAAGGAAAAGTTGTATGTGCAGCATCTGATATTTTAGTGGGTTCAAAGATATTTTGCCGAAAGCCTGAAAACCCAAAAAGTTGGAGTTCAAAATCCTTATTCCTTTCCTGGGCCTCTTGTTCATTACTGTTGGTCTGATAGTGCTGTAGTATTGAATGTTTTCAAAGCCTGGTCCTAGAGTCCAAAGCCCAAAGGCCTGTTGGTAGGCACTGTTTTCTGTTTTGTATCTTTTTTTTTTTAATTATTTTTCGGGTCTTCTGAATAATTTCAATCATACAAGCAATAATTATTTAATGACGATTAATCTTTGGATGGCCCTAGTTATATGATTAAGGTGGGCCCTGGCATTCGGGTTCTGCTATTTGCAATGTCATTTCAGTAGTGTTATTAAGTGGCAACTATACAATATACACGCATGGTTCTAATTATCATCAATAAATATAGCATATGATTTGTATAGTAATAAAAGTAATAGCAGCAGTAGTAGTAGTATTTCTACTTGCTATGATTAGAAATGAACCCAATTAGCTGTCAGTGTACTAGAAAACTTTGGCTGTGGATGTGAGCTATGCATATACGGAAGATTCTTTTGGGTAAGGGTAAGCGTCAACTTGTTTACGTGAAGACAGGAAATGTAATCAATCATCGTTTTCTTTTCTGCCCATCTTTTTCTCATACCACTTTGATCTTATTGGAGACTCGAAGAATAACGATAACGCTTATCATCACAAATGTCATTCGTTGAATGGTTCTCCAATTATGGGTTCCCACTTGATTCCTTCGTTTCCTGCCTTTTTCAAGATCCTGATAGCCTTCCCAGGCCGACCATAGATTGGGTTTTCGTGGAGTGTATGCCATTACTTGGACTCGGAAGTTGGAATCCAAAACCGTGGGCTCCATTCATATTATTGTTCACATCTCATATTTTTTATTTTTACTAAGTCATCCTCTGATAAGCATGTTTCTGCGCACCACAAGAAGTTGCACTTCAATTCATTTCATTCAAAAATCATACTCCTGTAATCCTGCATGATTAAATTTAGGGGTTAATGGAAGATCGGAAATTTCATTAACAGCCATTGGATTTTGGACTTTTATCAACACCCAAAGTATGAAATCATCTCAGCCTGCAGGAACCCATTAAAAAAGGTTCATACTTCACATATATGTGCACTATATTAATCTATATATCACTAAAGTAATCACGCAGCTTTAATTAAGTCTTGGTTACATCGATAGGGTAATCTTAAACTTGTACAACATCAGCTTTAATGACGATGATGACCGTATGGACCCATATTGTCCTTTGCTTTTATTATCAACTGCAAGCAATTTAACAGGTGGAGAAGGGCAATTGATGAGATGCTGAGTCAGCTAAAGGACATATGTCTACCGTGTGTTAAACAACTCCACGTCAGATGTGCAGAATTACCACGTTATTTAAATCTCTTCTTTCTCCTCAGACCCCTAACTAAGAGAGAAGAGAGAGAGAGAGTTCATTAGAAAGAAAGAACAGGCAGCAAGCGAGAGTCCGAAGAAGTTCGTTGTTTGAATATCTAACTGCATCTGCTGATAAAACTTCTGAAGTAGAGAGTACTTTCCGAATCATCGCAGAGATGGGTGAAGTAAGCGTATCGATCTAATTACTATATAATATATATATGGAGTACTGTTATTTATTCTCCTTTTTTGGTTGTTGCATTCTTTATGCATGTCATTAAATGGCTTCTAATTACTAGCCATGGTTATTCGTCTGATCTCAAAGTTGAATAGCCTCTTCTTCCAATCCTTCAGTTTTGTGAGGTTTATGTAATTACAGTTGTTGGGTCTTTAGCTTTATATATTTATTAAATAGAATTCTTTTATTATAGCTCAAAGCAGATATATTGTTTGATTATGTTGTGTGCATGGCAACCGCAGGCGAACAGAGAAGAGAACAAAGGTGAAGAGAAAAAAGAAGAAGCCAAGGATGAAAAGAATAAGGAAGAGGAGAAAAAGGAAGAGCTTCCGGAGATTGTACTCAAGGTTGATATGCACTGCGAAGCTTGTGCCAGAAAAGTTGCAAAAGCCCTCAAAGGATTTGAAGGTCAGTAATAAATTTCCCTAAATTAACTTCTTTAATTAGCTCATATGAACCTGCTCCATTTTTCAGAGAAGATGATGCATAAATAGAAATTAAATGAGACAAATTTAATTAACCATACATTATTATTAGTTAATGTTGATGCTGGTACTATTTAATAATAGGAGTGGAGGATGTAGCCACAGATAGCAAGGCGAGTAAGGTAGTGGTGAAGGGAAAGACAGCAGACCCCATCAAGGTTTGTGAAAGGCTGCAAAAGAAAAGCGGTAGAAAAGTGGAGTTAATTTCACCTTTGCCAAAACCACCGCCAGAAGAGAAGAAGGAAGAAAACAAAGAACCCAAAGAAGAAAAAAAGGAAGAGGTAACCAAAAAATAAACAATTAAGAATGGCTTTCATTTCATAGTTACCGTATCAAAATCAAACATAATGATGAGTAATCATGAGTGCACCACTATCACATATAGTAGTATTGATGAATTTACAGTGGAAAAGTAGCAATAAGTACTCGCAGTGTCCGTTTTTGACCCACTAAAGTTGGTTGCTTAGACCTTTCGAGTGTCATAGGGATTGAAATACAATTAGTTTCAACCCCTTTTGGGCTTTGGAGTTTGAACTTCCTATACTGTGAAACCTGTGAGTGGTATAGCGTGCTGTTTCCATGCTGACATTGAAAGTAACAAAACAAATTGGCCATTGCCCACAGCCCACAGGGCACAGGCACGTATTTCAAAGAGGAAGGCGACTGTTTAGGATTTTGACCCCACGGTTCCATTCCGCAACAAGCATGTACGGCTGTGCTTTGCAGTACTGGCTGCAGCCATATGGGGTCAAGCCCTCACGCTCACGGGTTGAGACTAATTGAGATCCTAGCTTGATATATAATTAACTTAATTTACTTCGAATTGGAAAGCAACAATATTAAATCATTACTAGTGGTATTTATGTTTTGATAATTATATAGTAGTATCACTTTTGTTTCTTTTTGTCTTTGGTTTTGTTTCATATGTAGAAATAGCAGATTAATGCTAATAGTTTAAGACAATGAGATTTTTGTTTCTGGGTGGTAGGTGGATTATATAGATAGAACAAGAATAAATTCAATAGGTGGGTGGATTGAGTAGTGTTTGGTGGTGTTGTATTCTTGTTGACTGTTGAGCACATGCAGTTTGTCCTGTTTTTTCATCTCACCATCTCATTGGGTGTTGAGCCCGTCGGTTTCTTATGTCAGCTCCTGCTACAGATCTCTATCTACGTACCTTGGTGAATAAACCTAATAGAAAAAGTAATTATGTAATGTCAGGCTTAGAGATTGGGGCGGGGGTTACATAGAATTACAAGTAATACTAATTGATGTTCAAATAATTAATTACCATGCATCTTGGTTTGAGTTATACATTAATCTGTAGAGATTCAATTAATAATTACGGTTGAATGTGACCGTTAGTTGGTTTAATGATCTCTTGGCAGCCTCCTGCTGCGATAACGGTAGTGTTGAACGTTCGTATGCACTGTGAAGCATGTGCTCAAGTTTTGCAGAGGCGAATTCGAAAGATCCAAGGTACTATCCTATACCATATTATACTATACTATACTATATTGTGCAATTCTCCTCCGCTAGTTAGCAACCCAATTTCTGGATTATCTCAAGCTTTTTACTTTTTAACATTCATAATAACTATAAAACCCCAGCCTCCAAGTTATTACACATTATAGTAATTAAATATAAATGAAGGGCTATCAGATAAATAACAAGGTTATAAATAATAATAACTGTGTCATGAATATTGTGTTGAAGCTAGCTGCTTGGGACTACTTAATTTGGGACTTGACATCGCATCGGATTCTTTTCTTCGTTTGTGGGTAAAAGAATTCGGATTCTTTTCTCACAAAGATACAGAGAATTGAATTTGTAAAAAAAAAAAAAAAAAAGAAACTGGGCGTGTACTTCCCATATTGCATACAATGGTAAGAATTAAATTGATGATCATCCTAGCCAGTGTTTCGCTACCCTATTGACAATTGGGATATGTAGATATAATATAAAATGTATCAAAAAATATTTGATGAGTTAATTTATTCATCTCATTAGAATTAATTAAGTTAATTTATCAAAAAAAAATTTATGAACCATTTTTAAAGTGTATGAGATGAGTGAGTTTTTTTTTTTTAATTATATAAATGGGTAAAATACTATCCATTGATCGATGTAAATATTTTCAACGGGTAATAACATTTTCATATCAGAATTAAGTTAGGATGGATGTAATTTCATATTTGTGAGAGTAAGTTGTTAAACAAGTTTTGCCCAGCTCCCCCATTGGGAAATTGAATTAGGGTTAGCCTCCAACTTTCGCCCTTGTTTCATTTCGTTATAATTATTAGTATATATTAATAATAAGGCTAACTAGTGGTGTGGTTTGATTAATTGAAGTTATTGCGTTGGGAATAATGCATGATTAATTGCAGGTGTAGAGTCAGTGGAAGCGGATGTGGGAAATGATAAAGTAATAGTAAAAGGCGTTGTAGATCCCACAAAGCTGGTTTATGATGTAAACAAGAGAACCAGAAAGCAAGCATCCATAGTGAAGGATGAAGAGAAGAAGGAAGAAGAGAAGAAAGAAGAGAAGGAAGAGAAAGAAGGAGAGAAGAAAGAGGGTGAAGAAGGCAAAGGAGAAGATGATAAGAAGAGTGATATCAAGCGAAGTGAATATTATCCATCCAAGTACTACTCCGAGTTTGCATATCCTCAAATTTTCAGTGATGAGAATCCAAATGCTTGCTCTCTCATGTAACCACCAATTTCAGTACTTCTAGTTAGCCAACCATGCAATTTTCCTGGTAGTTACCCTACCATCTATATATATAATAATGATAACATCTTGCCAGACGAAAGTGAGTGCTTAATCATGCCATCCTTGACGACATATCCTATGTAATTATAGGTCTTGTTTCTTGTCATCTTGAGTTCAGAACGATGTATGGTTATGGAGTACAGTTCAAGAGATCTTTAAGACGTTGTTTGTAATAATAATTGACTTTTCTGAAGTTTCTTTCTCTTAATTAATTCACATACCATAAAATAGCCAACAGAAGTATTTTGTAATCTTGCCAGATATAATTTGTTCATCTTTTTAACCATTCAAAATTTTAAATAATCATGGCAATCATTCTGTTAATTTCCTGAGCAAACATCACACTCTCCTTGATTATTTTTAAACTTCAGAAAATGTAATCGAAGATAGATGATCATTGCCTAGCAGATGTTATATATATTATATAGCAAAACATGAAATGATATATAACAAGTACTTTGTACCGGGGAGGCGATTAATTCAACTTGAGAGAACTCAAATTTGGAGGAATGTGTGATATCTGTTAGTTATTGACTCCTTGTTTGGCATGCTTAGATGCTTCTGACTATTCAGTAGATAAAAAAAAATCACAATATTAGTGCATTCAAAGATAATTTTTTTTCCTAATTATCACATGGACAATCTAAATTTTGTTTTGCTAGTGGCTTTTGCTGCTAGAAACTAATAAAAAGGAGATAATTAAGTATATATATATATATATATATATGTACATGTGTGTGTCTAATTTATAGAAAGCAACAGCATTGTCTCTAATGTTTGTCAGACATCTTAGATGGAGTATATGGTAACCATTACCATTAGGAGAAAATATGCCCAAGTTGGTTGTTCTAGAATATTGAAGTACTATAAACCTGGAAACGTTTAATGTGAGAGCACAGATATAGTTAATATATTCTTGAGGATATTTGATGAGTTGATGTCCAGGCACCATTCAAAATTCATGCCTGGATTTCAACTAACGTTGCATGCTTAACAGTCACTCAAACCCACAGTGGCTAATTGTCCAAAGACTTGTGGCGGATAGCAGAGGGAGAATTCTACACACAAATCAACAATAATAATCGACGCTCCTCCTACCATTGGAGAAGGCAACACTATACAAGCCACTCATTTGAGATGCCCTTGGTCCATAACTATCGCTCTATCAGTCGCAATTAATGTCACCAAGAATAAATCCTAGAACAGAGTACAAACGCAAATGGTCATAAATTTCCGGAAGGTCTGTTAATGCTATAAATCAAGACTAAAACTCGGAATATTTAAGTTTTAGATGCTGAGTGAAGCTTGAAAGATACATACAACTTATAAAATCTAATATGATGGTTAATATTAATTGTTTAACCGCTGCTGAAATATGGATAAATATACATATATACACATATATATATGTATGTATTTATGTATGGATTATAGAGTAATCAGAGATTTTAAGGGGCACCATCTGTCGGAGTTTGGACTAGATATTATGCAGGCTGCAATCACCACCGGCCGATGTTATCCTCGCTGCAAAGCAAGCAAAGCTCTGACAAAATGGCACGCTGTGTTGTCAATAGGAAACCAATATACGAAAAGGATATCGAACTGGACCACCGATCCATTGGGTTGGGCAGAACTTTATGCTAATAGAAAATCTAAGGTTCAGGCCTAAGTCTAACACACGTAAGGAAAAGCAGTGTCGTTAGGTCGTAGTCAATGTGACCATGTGGGCATGCATGGCGGGCTGGTACCACGGTGACACTAGTGAAAAAGCTAAGACTGATAATTGCAGAAAGAGTTTTACATCTCCCAGTCACATTTGAGTGGACCCCTTAAGATTCTGATAATTATTCAAGCAGCAGGCCCAGTATTCCCACTAAGGCTTAAAAGTTGGGTGGATGAGAAGTATGTATTGAACCTGGAGGTCCAAGACTCTTTTGTATGATATCAAAGACAACCTGCATGAAATGAAATTATCATAAAAAGAGAAGCTTGAACTAGGAAAGTAGGATTTGGAATAGTAGGACGTTATTGATTCATGTGGATTGTATTTCTTTATTTCGGGTCACAACAAATTAAGGGTGGTGCGAATAGAGAATCATGTTTAAGGATAGATTGATATATAGGAAAAAAGCTTTTTCTATTCCCTGCCTGCCCAAACGAGCCAATATCTTTGGAACTTACTTTTTCTTTGCCTTTTTGTCATCGAATAGAGTATTATACAGAGATGGAGTTGACAAGATCAAGTTGGTGGCCTCAGCCAGACGCAGGACCAACAAGTGCATAAGCTAATGAAAGTAATGTAATATATACTCTTTAGTAGAAAATAAGGAAAGTGAAAATTTTACCTTTACTTGCTGCAATTTATAATTCCAGCAATAGCCACGTCGTTTAAGATTCCACCACGCATGAATTAAATTTCTTGAACCTTAATAGGTCAATTACCCATGAATGGAAACCAATATATATAAATAAATATATATATATATATAATGGCTAATTATACCGATGAGAAGGCGTTTATAACGAATTAACAACTACATAGAATTTGGTTTTTCAAAATTCTGCTAATAAAAACTGGAAGACCTGGTCGCAATCATTCACAAATCAACAATATAATATATTATTTAAAAAATACTATATAATATATTTGTCCAGTTGGAAAATATTTTCGCTATTTTTGTATTCGAAATAAATATATAATATAATATAATATATTGTCATCATGTTTGACAACAATTGAAGCTTCTTTGTGCTACCATCATGTGACGTTGGGTTAGAGGGTGATCCTTGATGTGGTAGAGGCTTATCTATCTCAATATCTGGAAATTTTGGCCACATAACGTTTCCTTTGGTGTGAACGAATGTAGGTTTTATATTGGTAAAAAGGTATCTATCTTTGTTTCAAGACAATTCGTTAGACACTGAAGGCCGGTGGCATTGGTGGCCACATGGCAGGGAATGCGGCCAACGACGTCGTAATTGTACTAGTCTCTTTCCTTCTTTTGTTTAACTTGCCTTATATATCTTATTACATTAGCTTATTATTCGTGCAATACGTAAAATAATTTTATATGTATAATTATATGTATAAATAATTATATGCAAAAGTATATATTAATTAAAATTAAAAAAATATTTTTAATACGTTATGTTCAAATTTTATATTATAATAAATGTGTTTTTCTAAATATTTTAAAAATTTTCAAACACCTTTTTTAGAGAATTTTCAAACATCTTTAAACTTATTATCGAATCAATATTTTTACACTATCTAGTGAAAATAACTATTTATTTAGTTAAAAAAAAAAAAAAACTATCACTTACTTAAACCTTATATTATCATTAAAAATCAAATTCAAAGTTTCTGAGCTTATATTTACTCTTGGATATCAAATTTGGATATAAATTAAAAAAAAAAAACATATAATTTGGTTTCCCAGATTATGTAATGGTCAGAATAAAAAGGGTTTTTAACTTAAAATTTTTCCTTAATGAAGGTCCAAAATACCGTAATGTTCTATACTTAGAATATGAAAAAAAAAAAAAAGTACTTATCATGTATCTTAAAAATAATAAATTTACACATTTATTAAATAGTGTTATTGACGTGGATTACTTAAATGAAATGGTATATATTAATTCCCATGTGGTAACTTTGATAACAGTTTATTACTAATTCACTTTGATACTTTTACCAGATGATTTATTGACTTGATTTTTTAGCAACTCTTTTTCACTTGTTTTATTTTTTATATTTTGTAAGTTAATATTCTTAAAAAAGTATGAAAGTTTCACTCATGACTCATACACTGAATGACTAAAACCAAAAAAAATCTACTGGGAATGAAAAATCAATTAATCAAAACATTTCATATATAAGAAATCATGCTTCACATATATAAGAGATGTAATGAGTGATAGATAAAGGCCTTTTTGACTCTTACCACGGTACTTGTTGTATGACAATATATATGATCTCAATCCATGCTTTCTCGAAATCTATCAAATAATTCAACAAATATATCACTTATTTGAAAAAAATAAATAAATTTCAGTAACTCAACCTTTTAAGAATTTTTATTTTGGTCACTCAACATTAAAAATTTACAATTTGATTACTAACAAATAAATTCTCAAATTATAAAAAAACAAAAATAAGTATTTGACTTTTTTATTGCATGGAATTAAATTATTACATTTAAATTTGAAAATTTGATAAATGTTATCCACTTGCAAAAATTCTCTAAAATAATGTTACTTCAAATTTTGTTATTCAACTCATCCAAATAAACTCAAGTAAATATTTCATATTTCATAACGTCAAGATTTAGTTTTAATTTCATGTAATAAAATATTAAAAGAAGTATAGATAAAAATAAAATAATTTACTATATTGAATTTCACAAATCATTGGTGATTAAATCATTATAAAGTTATGTTGAGAATGATATTCAAATATTAATAATTTCAAAAATGTTGATGACCAAAATGTAAAAATTTAAAATAAATACGTGAATTTATTGGATTAATTGAATGAAAAATATTTGATGTAATAATCTTTTAATAATTTTAGCACTTTGATTAATATTCACCTGTTTTTCAAATTTAAATGGCACAATTATAAAAAAATAAAAGTTCATAGTTTAATTCCATGCAATAAAAATATTGAATGTTTGTTTCTATTTTTTAGTAAAATTCAATGATTTATTTGAGTATTATCATAATATATTTCAATAGGTAACATAAATAATAAAATAATTTATTATATTGAATTTCAAAAACAATGGTGATCAACTCATTATGAATTCAAGGTGATGAGCTATTGATAATAGAAGGGTAATGTCATGAATGACCTCTAAACTATAGTAAAATATTTAATGTGGTACTTGAATTTTACTAATATGCTACATGAACTATGAATTTGTCAACTAAAGTGATACTTTGGAGGATTGTTTGTCTTTCATGTGCCATTATTTGAAACTAGTCACGTTAGGGGTGAGTATCATATTGATTAATAAATTCATATTTCAAGTACCACATTAAAGATTTTTAAAAATTAATTATCATATTAAACATTTCTCCATAATCTAAGAGCTATTCATGACATTAATCTAATATTAATAAATTTTACAAACGTTAATGACCAAAATATTAATAAATTTCATATTTTATAATGTCAAGGTCTAATTGCAATAAATTTTATGCTATCTATATTTTTTTAATATTTTATTGCATGAAATTA